TGTTGGAAAAGCCATTGAAAACACTAGGATATGAAGAACAGCTGATGGAAAATGACTTTACTAAATGTTTAAGACAAGAAATTGTGAAATGGGCATGTACCCTCCAATACGATGAGTGCGAACGATCAGCTCTTCGCAAATTAGAGCATCATCTCGAGAATCATGAAAGCAGGCCGTAATATTTTTTCTATAAGTGCAATTTCGTTTTGCATTCCAAATTATGATAAATTTTCCATTGACACATGTAATAAATAATATGTTTATATGTGTTTTTCTTTTTTTTGAATCTGCAGCCTTTTATCTTGGTGGAAGCACTGGACATATTGCAATAGTTTACGAATAGCTATAATAATTTTTCTATATGGTCAGACGTAACAGTCTTCTTGTCAAAAAAATATGACCGTAAATTGTTATCGTTCCTATCTTGTTCTGAATATGGTACATTTACTTCTGTATCATTTTTCGAGCTATTCACAAAAAATAAAAGACAAAATATTACGATTATTCGATTACATATAGACATTTTTCATTCAATTATTATGAAACATTCTAACGCATATGACGTACTCGAAAAGATACTTATATCTTTAGAACTTAGAAGACCTACGTAAGTAAATTTTTTGATAAATATACATTATAATTAACTATAATATATATTATACAAATACATATAATAAAATATAAATTTGTACCAATTGATTTTATTTAGACAAGTAAACATATTAACAGCGCTGGTTGATATCATTAATCATGTATATTCTTACAAAAATCTTAAGAAGGTAAATAAATTCAATTCAAATTCTTTAAATTTGTCAGTTTTCTTTTAGATTTCATCAGTGTATTAATTTTAATTTCGGTTTTGGCTATTTATCTTTTTCTAATTGTAGAATTAAATAATGAGTAAACTATTGCGAGAATAAAGTTTAATCTTTTATTTGTGTAACCGTTTTGAATTATAATAATGACTGCATGATGCAGTACGTTTCTGATTGTTACGCTTTGTTCTTTCCATTTACGGAATACGATATTTTATTGCATGTTGTTCTTGTCTGTATGAAATAATAATAAATTATCTAACAAATGTAATTAAATTTTAAAACAACATTTTCTTGTTTTAGGTTCAAGATTATGTAACAGGAATTAGCTACTTAAACGATTCACAAATTTTAAAAATTGTAAGAAAGATAGAAAGAAGATTGTCAGAAATTGTCGCTCATACAGGATATTTTCGATTTATGAACATTCATTAATCTAATTTAAATAACCACGTAATATATAATTTTTTTTTATACTAGAGCTCGAATCAATGAAAACTAATGTAAGCTAATGCTACTGTTACTGAATATATAATGTTAATTTTGAATATATTATTATATCAATTTGTTTATTTTTAGTCTTTACTTAAATGTTATAATATTGTTTTCATTAAATTTTTACTTACGTCTCTATATTCTGCATGTTTAGTCTTGCTTTATTTGTATATTATTGATTATTTTTTTATAATACTCTTATAATACTATCATATCTGTATTATTGAACATATTATGTAACATTATTATTCGTTTTTAGCGCAAACTAATTATTAAATATATCTTAATTATAATGAACTATCATGTTATTTTATTATACATTATTATTATAAATATCCTTAGAAGAACTTTTTAACACTTGTTAACAAGAAACGTATCCAGTTTGATATTTTGAATTTATATGATCATTTAAAAATTACTGTTATCTGTATATTAGGTCTTTCGTATTTCCAGTTTACTTGCATTATGTTACATATCGTTATATGTAACATAATACATTATTAATATTTTAATTATAATTTATTATAAAAACATTAATAACATATTACGATATGGAACACAATGTGTGTGTCTACTTAGTAATTCCAACATACCAATTATTTAATATTATTAAAACTAAATCTATAATTTTTAGAATTTAAATCTTTTACTTTATAATTAACTACTAATATAATATATGGATGTACTACTTATACGGCTACATCTTGTCCTCTCCCATCTTGTTCTCACTCTCTCTTTTTCTTTCTGCAACTGTTCCTTAATGTAAATCACAATTACTAATGAGCAAAATATAGAAGATTATTGATAATCCTTGAGGAAATATTACCAACATTTAACATAGGGTATAAATTTATTTACGTAACAAAGCATACACACTTATTATAAACATGTATACATATATAAAGCATTTAAAATTTTCACGCAACATTTTAAATGGCTCAAATAGTTAAAAATGCCTAAAATATTCCTAAAATGTCACTGTAAGTGTTAGAAGTAAGTATGTCAACAGTTCGAGCAGCATAAATCAAATATTTTGATAAATTCATAAACCCACATTAAACATGTATTCCCTCGAAAAGAAAATCAATAAACATTTCGGCAGCTAATGTAGCATGGTTACATGAAATGACTTGGTATTTAGTTTGTTTATCTAATTCGCGTTGATAACATTAATCTGTTGTGATTTTTCGCAAAAATAAGATCGCAGAAATAGAAAACATTCTATTACAAATCATCGACATTATTATGATAGTTAATCAGGAGCTTGAATTATACATTAATATCACAGTTTTATTACACAGGGGTAAGTTTCTGAAAATTTGACATTTGATTTATTTGCGTGATGCATGCTCAATTATTTTTTAAATTCTGGCGTTGTAACAATATTTGACTTTAGACTAAACGTTACTTATGTAAGCTTAGGTATGTTCCTTAATAATATGCTATAAAATGTAATTTTTTGTAGACATTCATGTGATATTTATGAAACTTCTATTAGAAATTTCAATTAATGGAAAAATATACACGTATTTAATGAAAAATGTTTATTAAAATAAATAATAATTTAAAACTTAATGTTGCAGTAACGATATTTTTAACATAATATTAACAGAGTGCTATTTCAGTTATTAAATTAAAAAATGTTCATTTTTATTCGAAGATGTAATCGTACGTTTATAATTACATATCGACTTTAATGACCTGTCTCTCTCTCTCTCTCTCTCTCTCTCTCTCTCTCTCTCTCTGTCTCTTTGTGAAATAACAAATAGCTATATGTATTATTATTAATATTACATTATTTCTTCACATTTTCTAATATTATAATTATATATATTTAGAAACCGATAGTTAATGCGACATGGATCTAGCACAGATAAGTAGCGGCTTGATACATATTCTGACAATAGCTGTCCTTAATAGTGAAGAATTAAACAATTCCACCATTTCAAATGACGAACGTTTACCTTATTATGTGATACCGGTGCATTACTCCATACAACTCAGTTACTTAAACTCATCAATTTATGAATATTACGATCGATTCAAGTTCACTTTGGAAAAGATGTTTATGAAATATGATGATTCTGGCTTATTTCGCGGTGAAACTAGTACAACTATTAATATCCTTCAATCGACTCAATATATACGTTTGCATCAACTAAAGCTAAGCGTGGATCATAATAATGTAACTTTGATTACAAAGAATGGCATAATTTACGTATTGAATAAATATAAATATATCTATCAAACGAATATTATAGAATTTTCGTTCCTCTATAAGCTGCTTCCTGGGCTGTACACATTCAAAATACAATTTTTTAATAATCCAATAAAAAATGAAGAAAATTCCTTTTACAAGATCTTCCAAAAATATACCGCAATGTGAGTAAATGTTAAATAGTTAAAAATGTACATATACGCGTTATGTGATCCATAATATAATTATTCTTTACTTTTTAAAATGTATTTTTTATAACAATTTATAATAGCACTATTTAAATTCAATCGAATTGCACAGATTTATTATTGTATTACGATTATATTTAAAACAAATATGATAGTTATTATATTGTAACAGATTGGTGATATTTCCACACATTCAAGCAAATGGAATCAGACAGTTATTTCCTTGTTGGGATGAACCGCACTTAAAGACCACATTTACAATTTCTATAAAGCATTATCGCAATTTTATAACTTTATCCAATATGCCAATAAAAGAACATTCTACCAATTATAATTTGAGTAAAGACAATGAAATTTGGACACATTTCTATACTACTCCTCCAATGTCCACTTTGCAAATTACGATAGTAATGATGACTAAACGTCATTCCAATAAAATTAATGAAAACATTACTTTGTGGTGCGACTGTAATATAGAACATCCATCTCTGGAATTTACACGCGAAATCATAAACAATATTACATTCCATTTAAAATCTGAATTCTGCGAGATAAATATTCCGAAAATGGATCACATTATAATTCCGAATTTTCCACAAGATGGCATATCGAAATGGGGAATCATATTCCATACGTAAGGCGTACATTTGAATATAAAATTTGTTAAATGAAAAAATATTTTGTTTCAATTGAAACGTTTGAACTTTAACATTTATTAAATGTACATAACCTTTTATAACCCACATTTTTCAGTTAATAATAAAAAATTAATTGTAAATATTAATATAAAATTAAATAATTATTAATTATCGTACAAGGTGATTCGTTACAATTTATATTTTAAAACATGTGGAAGAATTGTAATTGCATTTCTTTTTTGAAAACAATTGAGTTTTTTTTCAGCTATGCATAAAAATATCAAATTGTGAATATAAAGAAATTAACAGTTATGAGAATTTTTACATTACTCAATAACACAATATGCTAGTATAAAATATACATATTTCCTATGCTATTAATATTTTAAGAATTCCTCTCCAATATTTTCATATATAAAAATCATTTTATTTATAAAAATTATATGATTAAAAGATGTATATAGTTCTATTTTAAAAATAGAGATAATTAAATATCGTTTACGCCTCCATTAGCTTTTTTACTATGTGATAACTTCTTCTGTACTATCTACGTATAACACTTTTCATATATTTTCATAAATTTTATTCGCTATAGCAACTGCCACATTATGCGAATTACCTGTACGTGAATTACTTGTATATCAATTGTTAGATATATGTTGTACTTTATTATTAAAAAACACGAAAGCAGAATCCACTTTTCTAACAAAATTAATAAGAAAAGAAAGTAATTTAACAAGATTTTACATTTATAATATCAAACACTGAATCTAATAAAATATAAATAATTTGATTCTATTATAATTTACCAAATACAATATTACATATAATTTTAAATGTAAAATATTTTATACACAATATTAAAAAAAATTAAATAGGAAAGTGTAAAGCAAGTAATATTATTTAAAGGAAACATAAAAAATATATCGACATGTTAAAGCATTCATACCAATTTTTAGGAAATCCAACCTTATTTACGATGAAATATTGGATCTATGCACAAAGTAGAAGTCGCACGTTTAATAGCACCTAAAATAGCATTTCAATGGTTTAATAACTTACTCAGTCCAGCTTGGTGGTCTAATTTTTGGTTACACGATGCTTTTGCTACTATGTTCGGAGAAGAAGCTGTTACTAAGGTTTTTATATTATTTAATATCGCAATATGAAAGATATATCTCTGTTATATATATTTTTATATTTAAGGATTAGATCCAATATAAAATTTAATCCTATTCAAAATTTACATATTATCGGAAGTTTGCTACAATATACATTTAAATAGAAATATGAAAGTTACGTAAAGATTTTTGTAAAAAAAACTCATAAAAATCTTTTCAATAAATTGTTAATATAATTTCATAATTTAAAACATATAATCTCAAAATCATGTAAAAACTTATTTTAATAATCGAATTCACACGTTATTGCTAAATTAAATTTTAAAAATTGCAGAATGATTTCAATAATAATGTATAAATTTGCTCATGTATATAATATGCAGTAGCACACGCTAAATTATAATGCGGATGTGTCATTTGCCTTAACGTTTATGCATAATTATGAAACTTTATTTTTAGAGCTTCAATAATTCTGAAATTTTGGATCTCTTCATAATTCAGAATCAATACGAATCTCTTCATCTGGATTCTCATTTTAATATGAATCCTGTCGAAATCACAAGCCCATCGGAAATTAATTCAACTTTCAGTTTTCCTCGTTACATGAAAGGTAATATTAAAAATTAAAGGTACAATTAAATAATTTTTCCGTACAAATTTACATATATGAATATTATGAAAGAAAAGGGAGAAAATGTTTAGTTTGGAAAAATTCAATTACGATGTAATAATACATCTCTTATTGTAGCAATAATTATTTTACGGATGTTCCAAAGTGCTATTACCGATGAAGTTTTTCGAAATAATATCCATACATATGTTAGCAGACAGTGAGTAAAGATAATATAACAATTAATTACATCATGTACATATTATATGTATCGCGCGCGCGCACATATGTGTACGTGTGTGTGTATGTGGATTGTGATAACTGATAAGTATAAAAAACAACTGTTAGAGATTATTAAAAATTTTCATAATATTTGCAATATTTTAAAATATCTACGTTTTGCCTTATATTTTTTTTATCTCATTTGTTCGTATCTTTTTCATTTTTTATCGATCATATATTAATTTAATTTTGTTTTCGAAAAATAAGCGGCTATCCTTTTCAATCAGTTTAAGAGACTTTCGTCTATAATATGTATGTAATATAAAACTATATTGTAGAGTTTTAAGCATATGTTCAAGTTAAGTTATAATTTACATTTTTATTAGGTGTTGGAATTAATTCGTAGCGTTTTTAATGAAAGAATGTTATTTATTTCACATGAGCATTAAAAAATACATTAATGAAAGTACTTCCCATCACTTGTAAAACGCTACGAATTAATTCCAACACCTAATACATTCAGTCCATTAAGATGATAACTACAAACAGTGATTTTTTTAGTATGTTCAGTTCAATAATGTCTCATAATTTCTCGTTTATGGAAGGGGAATTAAAAGATGATGCAAATGATTGTATAATATCATCGAATGAGATCTTGGATTCAAAACAAACACTATCCTGTTGTAAGTTGGGAACGAGACACTCATTCCAGAGGATTTTTTCTGTCGCGAAGTTACAATACGACAAATTATATTAAGTGGCTGATACCCATAAATTTAAGGGAAATATCTTTAAATGAAAATTTTAAAACATGTTTAGCACCACATATTAATAATATCCGATTAATTTTTCCTCAAAGTGATTGTTGGATGGTGAACATTGAGCAAGCTGGTAAATACAAATATATACAAAATACAATATGTACAAAATTCTACACGTTTTATGTAATTATAAAAATAGTAAAAGATATTTCTGCAAATATTTGCACATTAAGTCGGATATTCGACGTTCCACTATAATAATGAAAGTATGCATGATGAGTGTTTTAAACATATGAAACATATGAATGCATCTTCTTCATATGTATGTATGAATTCCTTTTAATATGAGAAAGAAGATAAAATAAAAAAATATATTTCTCTCAGTGTCAATTTCATAAAATTTATAATACAATTTAATAAAGTACATTTTTTTAACTGAATAGGGTACTACCGTGTCAAATATGATTTATTAACCTGGAGCAACATT